TAAAAAATTATATTTTCATAAAAAATATACAAATAATATTCTGTTGCAGTATACAATCCAAAAATTAGAAAAAGGAGATTATACTTTGAAGATGCATGTGCGTCACGAAAAAAGAGATTTGTTGGAAAGATTGACAGATATGCCGTTACTTCTGAGTCAGAAACTTAGCACACCAATTAATTTGGATATTTATGCTAATCATTCGCAAGCTATTATTGGTGGGAAAAAAATGGTGGCTGCATCAATTCCACCTGGTCACGTTCTTCCTCTATACGTCGCTCCATTGTCTAATGAAAGCAAGTAAGTATTTTCATTTATATCTATATATATATCTCTCTTGTAGTATTCATTATCTTAGTAATGCTTGATAAATTAGTCTAGTTTATATTTTAAATTCATTATTAGCTCCAATAATAGATATAATTAAATAACTACTATTTATTTGCATAAATTAATGTGTGACGTATAACTTTCAAGATTATTTATAAGGAATATTTTAAAGCTAAAAATTTAATATATTTGTTTAAGATTTCTAATAGTGTATGATTTTTAGACCAAAAGAAATTTTAATTCTTAAATTACAAAATATAATTTTTTTCTGATTGTATACACGTATACACCACATTTTACATAGCATATAATTCACACACAAACATACATATATATTAATTACATATAGTGCATATAATACATAAAATGCATAGAGATATACTACATATTGATTTATATTATTGAATAATCTTTATCACTTGTTTCATATATTTAACAATTATATGCTTAAAATATCGTTCATAAAATTCTTATTTTCTATATAAAAATAATCTTATGTATAAATTTGAAGTTAATATTGTAATATGGTAGTATATGTATATGCTTTGAATGCAAAATAGGTATGTTTGACTTTCATTAAATTAATTAGTCATTTTTTTATTTTATATCATAATCATATCACGTTTGGTAGATTAGAACTTTAAAATGTATTGCGATGCATTGAAGTCTTATATTTTAAACAAAGAATTGTTTAGAATGTTAAAATGCACATTTTATTCGTTTTTATGCCTTAGAATCTTATATCATATCATTTGATACCTAGAACTTTACTACGATGCATTGAAATCTTATATTTTAGAATTCTAGACCATTTCTTTATTTAAAATGTAAGATTTCAATGCATTGCTGTAAAGAAAATGTACATTCAGAGTTTTATCGATAATGAAACATGCCTTTTTTTAAGAACGGAAACATATATATATAAGATGTCTCTAAATCGATGCCAAAAGAAATTTTTAAATTAATTTAGAGTCGATTTTTTTCTAGCAAAAATTTGTTTCTAAATTATTTTTATACTTTTAAACTTTTAGCATTAATATTTAATTTTAACATTGAATACAATGTTAAAGTTCTATTAGAATTAAATGAAAAAGTATGATTTTATTAATTTTTTTTCTTGAAACTTAGTTCTTAAAATATCTTTTAAACGCTTATAAATAAAAATGAACATATATATAGTTATGAACATATATTTCCGCTAAGAAAATGCCAAATTATTAAAAGAATATGTATATAAATATTGTGTTATCTCTTAATTTAGAGGCATTCAATATAATTATATATATATAATTTGCTGCTAAAATGCTACTAAGATAATTTTCTTTTTTTATCTTACATTGCAGCACTGAAAACAAGTGAGTCCATTATACAATTTTTATATACATTTCGCATTTGAACGCTTTAAACAAAATTAAGGACATTTGCTACTAAATTATATGGTTTGACACATTTTTTAATGCATGCTGATAATGTCTGTCCTTAATTAATTATTGCTTATTGCAAAAAGGTATATTTAGAAACATTTGTATTTAATTTTATTTTAATTTATTTTTTTTTTTCTTTTGAATTATATTCAAGAAAATACATTCACTTGTATCATATAATTGACCTACACACCACATATCCAAACAATACATATAGATAATTAAATTTACATTCCAAAGGAATTTGCATATATGATCAATAATTTATGCTTCTGCTTCTAATGCCGTTTTAATTAATTTAGCATATTTGTGCAGCTATTTTTTAGTTTTGTTATCCAGTCACTCACGAATATTTTATTCCGCAGGGAATTATTTGACTTTGTATATGTTTTGCTTTTGAATCATGTACCATTGTAACATATGTATTAATGTATTTGATACAAATGGAATGTATATTATTTCTCTACAGGAATATTATATTCTATCGCATATTTTGTCTGTTGTCGCGCTCTTTCTGCACAGCGTTACTTTTCTATCTTGTTCAGCTTTTGCACGTAATGCATACAGTAAAAGAAAATAATAATAAAGCTGCGTTTATGATTGAAATACGTAATTTCAATGTATTGTAATACATTAAATATTTCTCTTTTCTTTTGCAAAGAGTATCCAAATACGCTACCCCCGGTAGTTATCTTCAAGGTACATTGACTTTCTGTAAAGATGATGTCGGAAAGAAGGTGGATAGTCACGTATTTAAATATATCATATCTGAACCGGCCAAGAAAAATAGCAACACTACTACTAAATCTGAGAAAGAGAAAACTACGAAATGGGATGAATACAATGAAGCAATAAGAGATTTAAAATGCAATTATCTTGCAAAATTTGGTAATCTAACATTTAAATATACGTAGATATAATAGATATTTAGGGTAATCTATTATAGCATTCTTACAAATATTCTATATCTTTTTTTCCGGTTTATTTCACCAATAGCACCATCTATGAGTAAGTTGGGTTTAGAATGCAAACATTTATGTGTTTGTGCCCCTTTTTGTACCACGTGCATAAGATACATGTGTACCTTAAAGCATGTATTTGAAATTGTTGCATATGATCACCTTTCGACATTTTTGTATGTCAAATAATATATACCTGTCATTACAGTTTTTATTCTTTTACGATATCTGACAAAAGGAACTATTTACCAATAATATACATAATTTATTTGCAAATTCTACTATTTATTATCGTCAATGTAAACGATTGTAACATGAATATCATGATTTTCGCAAATTGTGGCCCTTTATGTATATAACATTTATTCATATACCTCATATGTTAATTGAAACTCTATTTTTGATAACTAATACTAATAAATTTTTTGTTCTTGTGGATAACAGAACCCGGCGAACATGCCAATCAGTTGTACGCGGAGTTGAAAGGCGTCTTCTCAGATCATTTACCCGTTCACACTGCCATGCTGACATCGCTGGACTCTCCCGAAGCGCGGCGACATGTACCGCATGATGATCTTTCCGAAAATGCTGTTGCATTTGCCAATCAAATAATAACAGTTGCCGACTCTGTGATTACGAATATCGATCAAGATAAGTTGTTAGCTTATTATGGACTGAAAAACGATCAACGTCCCGACGCGGCTAAAATCAAGGTAACAATGGAGAAGCAAAAGAACAGTTTGATTGAAGGATTAGTGAAAAAAGGATGTGCACTGGCACGGTTGTACGTGCATGGAACAAAAACTGGTGAGGGAGATGGATCCTTCGAACATTTACTTGAAAGTGTTACACATCACTGGCAAGAAGTACAGAAATTCGCTGAACCCACAGATAATAAGGTAAAGATGATTTAATTATTGTGTTTAAAAATTATTTGTTTAAATGGACGACTTAATTAATTTATGTATAGTAAAATAAGAATATTATGATGTTAATAGATTAGTATAAAATAACAAATATAATTTAGTTTTATTCTTTCTTTAGGTCATTATTTTATCCTTATGGCACGCACACATTAATAAACATTACGGGCGTTATTTGAAATTATTGATACGTTATTATGAGGAGAAACCACTTAAGGAAATTGACGAAAAGTGCATTGAAATTGCAAGGATTATGGGATGGGAACATTGGTCACGTCTTTTAATCACAAGTATACCGGCACGTTACCCAACAACATACAAATTGTTTTGATTACTGGTGCGTATTGCTTATTTCAACACAACTTTATATTTTAAGAACGCATTAATAAACATTTGTAAAGAATTGTTTGCTTATTACTATGCATCTTAGAATTAATTTGCAGAAAAACTAATCGAGTCTTTACTTTATAATATTAATTAAATATGCTGTCTTGTTAATTTTAGATTGTATGAAATCAGTATGTTACGATGCGATAAAGATAAAGATGTGAAATCCGCTCCTAACACATGTTTGTACTAATAGTGATGACACTTACGTCAGACAAGTCAAGTAAGGTGTAATATACATCTAGAAAAATATGAATGTATTCATAATTATCTAAATTATTACTAATTTAGACAATTAACATTGAACTGAATTAAAATAAATCATATTCGTACATAAACGTATGATTGATTAATAGAAACTGTAATAATTTTTTCTAAATTAATTTGCAAAAGACAAAAGACAAATATATGTGAGTAATAGCAATACGTTTTATTCACAAAAATATTATATTATTAATATCGTGAAGAAAAAACAGAGTAATCCTTAATTTAAATGAGTACTTAATTGAAAATACTGTCTTTTTATATTGCATTTGACAAAAAAATACTATCGTAGATATTCCCATCAATTTAATATTTGAATCTGTGACCAACATTTATTACGAAATATTCATTTTTATTTCAATTTTTATCGTATTTTTATTTTTACATTAAATTATATGTAAATATATAAATACGTCTTTTGTTTTTACATCAACAAGATTTAGTTTAAGAATATAGTTTCATTGATATATATGTTGCTTCGAACGTATATAAATAGTAACGCAACTAATCTTAAATAGACTATTTATTAGTTTTGTTACTGTAAAATGATGTATTATTTACATCTAGTACAGAGACTTTTATATCTTACGTAATAAACAAATATAAAACAAATATGTAATATGTATTGTAAATATTGAAGGATGAATTTCATACAGTTCACTGCATTTTAATAAGTGCTGAAAGATGACTCATGCCATCGAGACAATTTTGTAATGGTGAACTCTACACCATAATTAAAAAAAAAAAAACTAAAATTTATTATTTTAAATTGATCAATTGGCAGTCTATCGCATTGCAACTAAGTAAGAATGTTACTATAAGAAGATAACATTAAATTAACAAAATGTGTTTTAACATAAAGTATAATATTAAATAATAATTCATAATTAGTTCTGAGAAGTAAAGACGTTTCTTTCTCAATAAAAAATTCTCAATAAAAAAAACAAAGCTTGAAATATATGGTAAGAAAATTGTATTGTTTTTGTCATTGCACAATTATCTAAGAAATAAAAACATTAAACAAGTTATTTAGATGCCATTAATTGTTTCTTCAGATACGCCCTGTATGCTTCTAAATTGAGCAATCAACAGCGTTTTTGTTTTCTATTAACTATCGTGTCATAACCATACATCAAACTAAATTGTAATTCAAAATGTCGTGACGTACATACATATATAAAATCTTTTTTAGGAAAATACAAATTATAAAAGATGTAATTGGTACAAAATTAATAAGTTATGAGAAACAGACGCAATAAAAGGTACTTTTAAATCATGACTTTACCGCCACTGTTTAACTGTCATTTCCCACCATATATAAAAGATTGTTACAATAACGAAGTCGATATATTATGGTACCACCCCAACTTTACACAAAGCCGTTATCCACCAGGACAGGAGAGTAAGCATCATTATTATTTACTTGAAACTATCTTTATAGATTAAATGTTTAATAATCTTTATTTTTTGATATAATCGTCCAGTAAGCGAAGCCTGTACCCTTATATGTTTGCTTGTGGCTGCACGAATATCAAGAGAAAATTTATTGATTTATGACATAGAAAATTGTCCGAAGTTGAGTATTATTGTTGCAGAAGCTATAATAGAGGGTAATAAGATTCACGCGTGGCTTATCAAGAATAAACTCATATCAGATCCATATTTGAATACTGAAGAAGCTTTAAAGTATGGGAACAAAAGTTTAAACAAATTAAAAGAATGGGTAATAATTAAAAGACGTTATATTCTATATAATATTTAATCAAACAAATTCTTGTTAAAGTATCAGTTTCTCATCTCGCTACATTTTTAACTGAACAAGTAGAACAATCTTTATAAATGTATCTTATGTCTAATATGCACAATACCTTTGTCACACAGAAATTTAATATCTTTCACGAGGAAATAGAAGCAAGCTTGTATAAAAATATAAATATATTCTTACATGAATGGTATAAAGCTCCGAAAGCTCACACTTTATTTATGCTGTTAATCACATGTGGACGCACTATATTATTCATATTTCAAGAAAGTACTTATAAGGTAAAAAGCAATTCAAACGGAATTGAAAGCAAGTGTATAAGATGCATGTTTTACCTGTAGGTCATGTTGTTCGATTCGCACAGTCACACTACTGTTAATTCAAATCGTGGTTTAATTATTGCTCAGGTAAGTAAATTTGAAAGTTTATTTAATTTTTTAGCAGTTTGTAAATAATATAATGTAAATAATAAGTGTGTGTTGTTTTTTCGCTATTGATTGTGTAAATTTGTTATACAGACAACTATTGATAGATTGGAATTATTATGCAACTGGTACAATCAGGATGTATTAAAGAATTGCTACAATACAAAAGCTGATAAATATGAACTAGCTTTTTTATATTTTTACGATGCACAATGCAGTGGCCATAATAAAGTTTCATGCAGCTGTTCAAAATCTCATAAAATATAATCACATATTATAACCAAGGTATTTTATTGTCTACATTTCTTACTGATTATAAAAATTGCTTATAAATAAAACTATTTTTCAGTTAGCACGTAAATAATATACACATGAAATATAATTATGTACTTAGCAGAACTTTTTATTTAAACACATATAAGTAATATACACGAAATATAGTGTATATTCATTCAGCAACTTTTTTAAACAGATAAATTGATTAGATTAAGACTGATATATTTATTTACATTATGTACATTTTACTTTCTCTCTGTCCTAAGGCTGATAAAACGTTTTATTGTTTACACAATGCTGAAATTATCCGAAGAAAATAATTTCGATTTATGTTCAAAAATAATACCATTTCAAGAAACAATTTTAATATTGTTTTTAAAAAACACCACGTATATTATTTTTATATATGTGAACAGATTTAGCATTGCGCAAACATATCTTTGTGATATGTAACTACATATATATATTAATAAGTGTACACTAATTTATATCTTGGGATGTTCTTTTTTAGCTATGTCATATTACGCTTATAAAATATAATCAAAAATGCGTGGACGATATAATTTTACTTGAAAGTTTCGTTTTTAGATGTAACGTTATAAGTAGCTCTACAAATATTTTGATTTCTTAACAATTAGCTTCAATTAATAGTACTATGAAATTTTTTTACATTGTCTCTATAATCTTCACGTAATTTCGTGTAAATCACGCGAAAACAAATATACTACTGAATTTGTATAGAACATAGTAAAAAGAATAATATCCAACGTACAAGATAACTGTGACAAATTTGTTAAGAGAACCAAATCTATTTATATAAAGAACGTAATGATACTTTCTTCTTATATACTAACAGTTCAATAAATATACCGCAACGTATAATTGAAAATAAAAATTATCTTTAAGTTCCAAAAGCACAATATAAAGTATTATTTTCTTAGTGTACAAAGAAAAAAATTTCTTTTTCTTTATCATTTTGAATATAAAAGGTAAGTAGAATGATGCCGAAATATATAGCAATGTTTAAAATACAAGATTTCTTTCTCTTCATGTTATTATGTACATTAGAAGTGTCGTATAATAGATCGTAAAATTTATTTAATAACAGTTTTCAACAACGCAATTTCTAGAAATTACTATCTACATGAACGTATAAGCTAATCCCTCTGCTAGTGTGGTTTTCAGTACATTTTTTTAAAGGAACACGCCGAGAAACATTCTTTCGAAAAACTGCTTGCAAGTACCACCGGTCGGGGTGGTTGAGCAACTTTTTGCTATATTTCCATGTATAAATAAACATTTTATACATCATATTACTTTGTACAATATAATCATTCTCAAGGCAATGCTTTTTTCTTTTAAGCATCCAAGATAAATTAAAAGTTATAATTAAATTATCTTACAATTTCGTATACTCTATGTGATTAGTACGTTTCACACAAATTAAACTTCATGTAAGTAAAACCGTTATTTTTAAGTAAACACTCAAAAGAATTTTCTCCTTTTGCATATTTTGCCTGATAAAGTAAGTATCTATCTACCAAAGCAACAAATTGTGCATTATTGAGAATGCATATTATAAGAATGTTATACACACAGTATATGAATTGTAATATTGTGTACATTAATTTGTCTGCAGTTATGTATAGAAAGTAAGATGATGTTATGTTACTAGAAAAATGTTATTTGATGAAATATTTGGAAAATATAAATTTTATAATTGAATAAATTAAAAGTATCATGTAAGAGCGTTACAAAAAAAATCGTTAGAGAGACTGACGAACTCGAGGTTGTGCCCATTCTACGAAATCATCGATTAATACAGGCCAGGCACCCTCCTCGTCATAATTACTCATGTCTGAATTAATCATAAGTGCAAAATCTAATAATAAATTCCATGTATCTTTTGGAATTGATCTTTTGTGATGTTCCTGAAAAAAAATATTAGTATAATTATTTTAAAGTAATATATTTATAAGAAATAAATTTTAATTTTGAATTGCTTACCTGTAAAAATTGACACCATAATTGAAGAAACTTAAATTTATCATCTAATACAATGTTCCAATAAGCGATTGCCATATCCAAATCTAAACCTTTCTGCCCTGTATTCTTTGCGTAATTAAATGTGAAATGATAGAAGTCCTTGAATTTTATAGGATCCCTTAATTCATTTTCTAAATTACCTAAACGTGCTTTTAACTTATCTATACTATCAACACTGAAAACAATAATTATATCATAATTATGTTTGATAAGAAAAATATCGGTTTAATAATTGATTACCCAACAAGGACATCATTAATATTTACCCCAAATCTATCATCCCATTCATAAACTCTTCTTTAGTAAATTCGCATTGTGTTTCAGCGCGAAATTTCCATGCGATGATTAAAACTAATTTGCTTTCAGGACTTAAATTTAAATCGTCCAGAAATTTCATGATACCATCCGCTGTGATTTTATTGGGTTCATTTGGATCTACAAATATAATGATTATAATATGCTTTCTATAATATTTGATATGAGTAATAATAAGCTAGTAAGGTTGTAACTAACAGTATGTATCATATTAACAATTTTACCTTGGTATTTGCTGTATAATATTTCCAGCTTCTTTTTATCAACAGAATTTTTCGGTTCTTTGTAATAAGCTTCTGGATTTTGGAAATAATTATCACTTGCGAGATCCAGTTTCCAATCATTTTGGGCTAAACAATATATCGCAGTCTGTTCTCCAGTTTGTGTAAATGTTATAAATTTTTTCACTTTGTCTCTTTGTGAAAATTTTAATTTATGCTGTAATTTAAATAAAACAGTGCCATACAATCTGCAAGCTTATAAGTTTTTCATATTGTAAAAGTAACGTATCAAAATAATATTATAATTTAAAAGGTTTCATTACAACTAAACATATTAATAGCATGTTCTATGTTTATTTTAAAGAACTAATACACTTTCCATAAAAATCATCATACAGTATATACGTAAAAATCAGTTTATATAATTCAACAAAATATACTTTGATACATCAAGACATACTTTTGTATCTCAATTAGTATCTTGATGAAACATATTTAAAGAAAGGGGAAAAGAGGTAAAGTTAAAGTAATATTTCATTTCACTCTATCGTACCAAACAATAAATTTGCATTTAACGTAAAAAGTATCATCAACGTTGTGTACGAAGATAGGTTATTGTGAGAACTTCAAAACGGAACAACAAAATCTCAGTGAGAAAACCGACATGACTAATTGATAATGCAAAGAGTGCAATTCTATTAACAAATGCGGTTTTTCTAAATGCTTACCATTTTCCGGCTAATTTTAGGCCCCCGAAAGCCAAAATATTATTCCCCTCGCACTACACTTGACATGAACGTGCGCATGTTCTGTGAAGGTCTCTAAAAATGCAAATACATCAAGTGGATACACCGTCGCGGAATGGCTACGTTCAGAAAATACAATGGTTGTGCAACCGTTGAGCGAATGTTAGCGAATGTTAGTGAAAACACGTTTAAAATAAGATGTCTGGCCTGATGTTGATTTGTGCTATTGAAAAGAGAAGACATCTGACTTATCATTAACTCGTACTACTTGCTCGATTTTGACAAATTTTAACAGCCAATGGACGCCTCATCGTGTCCCAAAGACTCTCCTTTCTGGGACGCGATGAGGCGTCCTCTGGCTGTTGAGAATTGAAAGTTTAGAGTGAATTTATTTCGAAACCAATCTCAATGCATCGCAGAAAAGAAGAAGATGATTGTTAATAAATAAGACGCTGCAGAGATTCGAACTCGATAATTTATCAAGATCCACATCATAATGCCATGTTTATAAATTGTAATGCTGTTTAATTTGGATATCCAAGAAGTGGAGGAGTTGGTTAGGTTATATGTGTATTGATAGGATATGCTATAATGATATACAGTTCATTTAGATGTCAGTTTTTAATCAGGTATGTATGCAATTATCATTCTTTAATTTAATTTTATGGGAAATCTTGTCAAGGACAATGTAATAAATTGTTTTTATATGTGTAAAATAAAAAGTAAATGTTATGTTGCTTGCAGAAATTCAGGAAGATGCATTTGAGTATCCGGTATTTGTTGCACAAATTAAAGTAGACAGTAACTCCATATAAAATGGTAGGAAATACTTATGAAGCATTACCATGCTATCACTCTAATGGGCCTGGGAGAGAGATGTGCCAGTGGTTGGCACATATCAAATTGTCAAGGATAATCATTTTGACATCTGCAGTTCTATTTATTGTGCCATTATTTACACATTATTATTTATCGAAGGTATGTTACAAATGAGCTTTTAAAGTTATGGTTTGTAAACAATGCTTTATTCTAATTCTAAATTTACTTTTTAGGTAGAATCTGATGCTCCAGATAGAGATCTGTATAGAACGTTTTCAACACTGGAAGCTTTTGAAGATTTCACATCTATGAAAGCATCGCAATTAAAGATGAGAATAGAGGAAATGTTTCGTATAAAAATTTCAGTGAGTAACGAACTGAGAGATCTGGGTGCGAAAAGACAAAGACTTCAAGGTGAAGTCAATAGTTTGACACAGAAGATAGATGAGTTAAAACAAGAGTTACTACATCAACAAACGGATCTTGATAGATTAAAGGTTAGTGTGGAACAGGCACAGGTAGCGCAGAGAGAAGCAGTGGAAAGAAACACACCTGAATTGGCGCCACCTAAAAGAATATTGATCAATAGTCTCCCAGTTGTGTTACACAGTGCAGATCCACGGTCATGTAGAATGTACAATTGCTTTGATCACAGTCGATGTGCATTAACGAGTGGTTTTCCTGTATACTTGTATGATCCGGATCAATTCTCAGTAGTTAATCCAGGATGGGACGTAGACGGTTTCTTAAAAACAACTATTAAACAAACTTTAGGTATGTGTTTTACATATCTATGTATTATTACTTACTATATCTTTGATAAAATATTTCTTTACAATAAATTGTTATGTATTTGTTATCTAGGGTACAATCCTCATCTCACTAGAAATCCAGCAGAGGCATGCATCTATATAGTCTTAATTGGTGAAGCATTGAGCTCTCAACAAAAAAGTGATCATAGCAAATTTTTGGACATAAAGAAATTACACGCACTTCCATACTGGGGTGGAGATGGTAGAAATCATATCTTATTAAATTTTGCACGAAGAGATTTATCTGCAGATTCTGGGAATATTTTTAGTGACGTGGATACTGGCAGAGCAATGATAGTACAATCAACGTTTTATAGAAATCAGTTTCGCGATAGCTTTGACTTAATTGTCCCACCAATTCTGGGACCACCTGGCGGAGATGTTTGGCAGGATTGTGCACAGATGTTGCCAGCGAGAAGAAAATATTTGCTGTCTTTTCAGGGAGAAATGAGGACTCTTAAAGGCACACAAATGACACATTCAATTGATGATGCAGATATAGATTTGGAAAGATTAGCGGTTAATGATAACAACATAGATGCATTTATCATTCAACATTTAAAAGATATGAGTGGTGGAATAACTCTAGACAAGTTTTTCATTCAATTCGAATGTATACCAGCTTCTGTGGAAAGCAAACCCGTAGAAACTCTTGACTGGTCTCTTTGCGGAACTGACTCATCTAGAAGAGCTATATTAAAGGATTCAACATTCGCGCTGATCTTAGCTCCCAGCAATGTCACATTATTAACTACTTCATCCATGCAAGCAAGATTGTATGAAGCGTTACGAGCTGGATCAATACCGGTTATTCTTGGTGGCAATCAGATATTGCTTAATTACAATGAAGTTATTGCTTGGAGAAGAGCAGCTATTTTTCTACCTAAGGTAATTGTTACAACATCACTGAATTGGTTTACAAGATGCTGAAACAGATCTAATAAAGTTATCAATTTAGGCTAGAGTGACGGAAATGCACTTTTTATTGCGCGCTGTTCCTGATAACGACCTTCTAACTATGCGGAGACAAGGCAGATTAATATGGGAACGTTATATGAGTACTGCACAAAGTGTAGTTGACACAACTATAGCAGTAATTCGTGACAGACTTGGTATACCTCCGTTGCCGGCGTCTCAAACACCCAGTCCTAGCATTTTTAACGAAAGCTTTGTGGTATGTATTTTAATTTGTATGTGATAAAAGCGTTTGATTTTAACAAAATTTATGATTTTATGTTAAAAGCCTTTAAAGTCGGATACTATCATCGCTGAACCTGAAGCGGAAGAAAATTTAGGCCCTTTGGAACCGCCATATCCATCTCCTGCTTTCAAGAGAAATTATACGATATTATTAGTTCAAGGTCATGAAATTTGGAATGATTGGATGGATCCATTTAATTTGTATCCACAGTTACCTTTTGATACCGTTCTTCCCAGTGATGCTAAATTTCTTGGTAAGATCATTATTTTATCATATCGTACATATGAAAATTACATCTGTTCATATTGTTCTATTATTTCGTAGGCTCGGAAGTTGGTTTTCGACCTATCGGTAAAGGTGCTGGAGGTGCAGGAAAAGAATTTAGTGAGTCGTTGGGAGGAAACTATCCAAGAGAACAATTTACAATCGTCATGTTGACGTACGAAAGAGAACAAGTTCTAATAAATTCACTGGCGCGTCTTTATGGCTTGCCTTACTTGAACAAGGTACTCGTCGTGTGGAATAATCCGAAACCACCGGTGGAAGATCTCAAATGGCCTGATATCGGCGTTCCGATACACGTGAGTTTAATTTGCTGTCTATTGTATATATATTTATTCTTAGAAATTACATTAAAATATACTTTCAATATATCTGCGCAGGTTATAAAAGCTCCAAGAAACAGTTTGAACAATAGATTTCTTCCATTTGATGCTATCGAGACAGAAGCTGTCCTTTCTGTCGACGATGACGCTCATTTGAGACACGATGAAATTATGTTTGGTTTCAGGTAAATATACGGTGTCACATGTAAAGTCTTATCGATTAGCTTTTTCATATTTATCATGTATACGATGATTTTAGAGTATGGAGGGAACATCGGGATCGCGTAGTTGGGTTCCCCGGTCGCTTTCACGCATGGGACCAAAATTATCACAATGCTTGGAATTATAATTCTAATTATTCTTGTGAGCTGTCCATGGTTTTAACTGGAGCTGCTTTCATTCACAAACACTATACATATCTATACACACATTGGCTGCCACAAGCTATAAGAGATAAAGTTGACGAATATATGAACTGCGAGGACATTGCGATGAATTTTTTAATATCTCACCTTACAAGGAAACCACCAGTTAAAGTAAGACGTCGTTTCGAATAACTCAGTCAGGAAGATTATTTAATATTAATTAAACTTTACAAATTTATATAAGTCTATTTGTATATGATTCTGACCATAATATTATTTTTTTCGTTTTTAGGTAACGTCACGTTGGACATTCAGATGTCCAGGCTGTCCAGTCTCGCTATCTGAAGATGATACGCATTTTCAGGAAAGACACAAGTGTATTAATTTCTTTTCTCAGGTAAAAATGATAAATTTTCGATTTCTCATCGTTTTTGTGCTTTATCTAGTCACATAAGTAATTATTTAAATAAATATACGAGTTAATAACATTACTCAATATGATTAATGTTTTCAGGTTTTCGGATATATGCCACTATTGAATACGCAATATCGAGCTGATTCAATTCTGTTTAAAACACGAATACCACATGACAAGACAAAGTGTTTCAAGTTTATATGAAGAACAAATACATTAGAATTTTTATCAGGTATTGTAGAATAAGATTTGTATGACTTTGATACCATTTTATGCAAATCATCGTTCATAAGTACAGACAGCTGCATAGGAACTGCAACGTATGCATAGGATATTTTACAAAATGTGTACAGGAAATTCAAGGCATCATGAATAGTTTAATTATAATAAGTATTTCGTGTGTCTGTGTATCTACTTGTATATAGATTATCATTAAATGATTGCATGTGTGATTGATTAAAAATTGAACAAATATTAGGTGTATTTCGCAAATAATTAGTGCAATTATTTTTATGTAATTGAATAGATTTAAGTAATCAGTGGTTTTCTTAATTTTTGTAAAGTATAAAATAATAGAGATTATGATGAAAATAATTCTATACAATATCAAAATAATATCAGACACAAGATAAAGAATGTCGACATTAACGTATTTAATGATTCTCTTCTTCTCTTTTTTTATTGTTTTAAGTTTTTTTTATATAAAATGATTTTAAACCGATGGAAATAACTATTTTATAAATGTAAGTAATATACTATATCAATATGCTACATTAAAATATAACATATATTGAAATATATACTAATTAAAAAATTATATTTATATAATATATAATATTATATAATTTAATGTATTTTAATAGTATATATAAAATATATATTATATTTTGATATAACATATTAGAATTACTGCCTGTTATAATCAAAATAATGTACATACTTAATATAAAATATTCTTTTAATTGATTATTGATGATTCGTATTACGAATATCAATAATTTCTATTAAAAAAATTTTTAAAGTAAAAAAATTCAATTTTTAAAATAGGAATAATTTAGTTTATGCATATATTGGATATGTATATACTATTGATGAGTTACACAAAAGCCATTCGGACATAAATGAATTTCTACATTGCTTTACACAAAAGCTGTAAAACGCAATTAATTAATTTACAATTGTGCTTTACAGTTAATAGAAACATCACACTTGCAAGTATAACGTTTTTATATATAACGTGTGACAATGGTACAAACCATTAATAGATATTATTCCTATAGACATTGAATTATTTTATCATTATTTACCGTTATTTACTTATATTAAAACTATATTTGACAAAAGACTTTGGTGCAGAATTTATGAATTTATCGCGCGAACAATATAAAAGTTTTGAGATCTAACAAAATTTTTTACGACGTTTTCAATGAACTATGGTTTCTTCAAAATCATGTTTCGTAATTATGTTTCAGGACTAAAATCAAAATTGCTATTTTTACAACGAATATTTCTTCTTTTTTCATATTATTAATAAAATTAAAAATAACAAATTTTTTAGAAGTCTCAAAACTTTTTTAGATTTTTGTGTATTATATATATCTTTATTTTGTGATGTGTTTTATTATTATATATGTTTGATATCATTGATGTGTGCCAAATTGTTAAATAAGTTTTTTAGGTATTAAACAACTCTATCTACTGCAATCAAATATTTTTTTAAATTTATTGTATTAATTTTGATGAAATAGTTATGTAATTACAACTACATGTAGTTTGTAACTAATTTTATTATTTTTAAGATCTAAACATTTATGATATTGTACAATATCATCAACAAATAGACTTGAATGTAACTATATATGCATGTAACGACTTCTGTAAAAAGCAAATTATTCATATAAAAAGAAATTATTGTATAAATGCTTTCTATTGTTATCTTTTATAAACATTATGACACGCAAATGTAAAATTTTAATCTATAAGAAGACTTGAAAAGAAGGAATATAAAAATGCGATATAAACGATAAAGAATCACATTTTATGCAACATAATTTGTTTTAACTACGCTTTACTTGATATTTCATTCTGATGTAAAAAAAATATATAAAAATACAATTACAATTAATTGTTATTTCACACTAATATATTTCATATTTTTTAGTCCCACAAGTAGTGCTAACCGCATGTATCAGATAATGACAGCTAGTAGTAAGCGTCAGCAGTAGACAGCCCCGAGCATCAGCATGGTCAGACGCAACAGTAGTTTATATGTATTTTGCTACGCCAAATATGTGGCAACAAAGGCTTATATTGAACGACGATATTAAGCTATTCATATACTAATTAACAATGATTCTGACGTCATGTTACGTATTTATAACTCGCATGCATATGATAAATTTATAATAACAATGAATTATGAAGGAAAAATTAATAATTGATGATGATCAGAAGAAAATTTCACAATTTTCACATTTATTTTTGAAAATAGATGAGTATGCAAATTTATTATTAATAATGCTTTATTTGACGAATAAAACCTTAAAGCTTATTGATTTTGGCATAATTAAATCAAATTTCAATATACAACTTAAAAAATGCGTATTGTGTAACGCGTAAATATTCTTGTTTTTTTCATCGAAAAAAAAAAAGAGAAGTTTTTGGCACAGTCAAAATCCAGGATGGATCTTATATGCAAGCGTAAACGCCACATGACGTACTCGATATACGAAACTTTGGCAATGTCGAAGGAATGGTGCAGCCGATCGGTTGCCCGATGGCGCGCTCCAGCTATCAGAAGTTTCTACGATCTTGGAACACGGTTCCTAGAGGATGATTTATCGAGTATTTCGCGTGGAATTCTACGATCGACCGTAAATATACCGTATCTATTGCCAATTTTATTGTTTCTGTATCGCATCGTGCTCCGTTTTCACGTTTTACTTGAATGAAAACTTTTAAAAGTCACATATATATTTCCGATAACTTCCTGTAAATCTAAAATTTAAAATTAAAATTTTATGTTTAGTGCTTGCATGCATAAAATCTTACAAAGATTATGTAATGACGATCACAACGCAATATAGGAAAAAATAATAAAAATCAGGGTGACATTTTCATTTTTGAAGTACAAGATAAAATAGAATGCAAGAATTTTTTAAAACAACATCTAATTTCGCGAGAAATTCGATTTCACAAGATTGAAAATTTTATCGACCTTTCCCGCAAAAATTTAGAGTAACCCTTTATTTTTAGCAGGACGTTTTAAATACACGCGCCGCATAGTTGCGATCGGGTATCCTTTCAAAGTTTGCGCCAGATTGGTCTGTCCGTCGATCAATACAGCATTTTCCTCGACGTAAGTCTCGTCCCATTTGCCTATTGGTCAGAACATACGCCGCAATCCCATTATTTATTAAGCTCGCGCGAAGATGCAATATTTGTCAGGCTTTTGTAACAAGCACGGAGCGACAATCACGATCGGCGTGTACAGTGAAATCGATTACAATTGCATGAAACCCGAACAAATCCCCGCTCGAGCGACGGACACACTTTGAAGCGTCTTTCTACTTCAACATCCCCCTCTTTGGTATCGCCTGTCACATACACGAAACTGGAGTTCATGCTATATACCAGATACGGGGTGTCCTAAATATTGTTATCTATCCTTACATTCTTTAGAATTTTCAAGAATTTGGAGGCAAAGTTTTGCTTCAAGAAAACATCATTAGAGATTGCTTATTTGAAGCTTCATGATTTTCAGTGTTTAATATTTTAGTAATAATTTCTAAAATCAAAGTTCTATTAAGCACACTTGATGTCAAGTAAAAAATAAGTTTCTTCTATATTTCCATGTGTACTTAATTTGTACTTGAAAGCTTAGTTAAAAATACACCCTTCAAGGGACAACAATTAATGCCCGGAGACATTGAAACAATCGTTGTTCTCATCAGTGCGAATTGTAACAAACGATTTGAAGAAAGTGCGAGCAACTTCCGAGCCACTCTGTATGGCACTACGGACGAGAGGGTGGGAAAGCGGTGGTTCGTTCGCGCAACTGCGGTCGCACACAAGTGCGATAAGGCACCCTCCCTTGAATAGAGGTCTCTGAGCGAGCGATACGTGCAACTCCGAAAAGGGCCGCTCGCGAGGAACGCGGGTACGCGCGACTCGATGTCGACGTGAGGATTCCGACAGGAAGTCGATTCGCGGCCGGAAATTAGCCCCGTTCGCGTCCCGCTCGTCCCGTTCCACGGCTGTCGCGAGGGAAGGGTTGCGGGAAGCGAGCAGGTAACGCGAGCGTGTTGAAGCGCAGAAGAAAGAGGGACAGAGAAGAGGAGAGGGAACGGGAAACCAGCACAAAGATAACGCGACAGAATAGGTGGCGAAAGCGAGAAAAAGAGGGAGACACGGAGATACGAGAAGAAGAGGGGCGACTGGATAACTGCGAGAAAGAGAAAGAGAGAGGAGAGTCACTGCGAGAAGAGTGACAGCGCGGTGCCGAGTGCGGACTATCCACACAGATCGACGTGGGTGCCGCACCGTCGTCGCGAGGGGGTGTGCGGGAGTGAAGAAACGCATTCGCGAAACTCTCGCGAAAAGGGACACGCGCCGCGCGCGGAAGTGAAACGCGTCGTCGCCGGACACGCCGCGGCGCGACGCAACGCAACGCAAAACACGACGCAAACGCAACGCGACGCAACGCAACGCGGCGTCGCGACGCCGAGCGCGCCGCACAGTGCGCCGCGAGTGCGCAATTCACCTGGTGGCTGGCTCTCTCTCGCTCGCCGTGTGTGACAAGTGTTGACCGTTTCGCAAAGTTTCGCGGGGGAGTCGGACGAATCGAGCCGCCGTAGAGCCTGAGACAGCCGTAACGCCCGAGATGGGTGTTTAACCTCGCGACGACCAGGTAGCGGCCGCCGCTTTTACGAGGGCGTTCTCGGGGTCACGACGACGACGACGACGACGACGACGACGACAACGACGACAACGACGAGGAAAACGAGAGCGCGCGATAATGAGCGCGATATCATCGACGGCGTATGATGTACCTCGGCGGCGATAGAAGATCTCTAACCCTCTTGGAGCGATAAGACCAACCCTCTGACGCGATTGTCAGCTGGGGAAACGATTGTCGTGGGTGTGTGTAACTGTCGGGGACGATCGACTGCGTGGGCGTCGCGACGGCCGTTAGAGGCGCGCCGAGAAACGCCATTGTCGTGTCGGCTGCCACGTGAATCGCGAGCGTCCGTGAACGACAAAGCGGATTTTTCGGAGCGAGCGAGATCGAGAGATCGGAAAGACGATCGTGCGCGGACAATTGATTTCGGTGTCCATCGAGTGAACGGTGCTGATCCTCCCGTCACTCGTCGAGGCATGCTTCTCGCGGCGGGATCCAGTTAACGGAACGGCGACACCGACCTCGCGGATCCGCTGTGTGGTTGGGATGGCGCATCGCCCCGTCGCGATGTCCGGGAGATAACGGACGACCCGATAATACACGTCGGCGTGAAACGGCGTAGCGCTACGGTGTACAACCGTGCCGAGGAACGAGTCACGAAAGTGGAGTCCTATTTATCAGCGGCGGCAACCCAGTGACCCGTTTTCGTTTTCAATCGATGCGGTTCCAAAGAGTTTCGAAGGATCAGGGACAGAAGGACGCAGCCATTATCTAGCCAGCGGAGTCGAACGGAAGTGGATTTCGTCGCGCCTCTATTCTCTCGATCGGGAGGTACGAGAATTCGTAGCGATCGCGCGCCAGCTCGATTTATCGGAACCGCGGCCTCTCTCGCGAAGCGAACACCGCGACGGATCGAGGATCCGTCCTCCGGGTGGGATTGCGGTGTCGTGCGCTCACCGAGGAACGCGTATCGTCCGATGGTGCATTCGGGCAGCGCAGCGCGTGAGGCCGGGCTGCAAGAGAGAATGCGAGAGCCTCCTCACAGCCTGTGAACATGATTGTCATACACATGCGACGGGCGGTAATCGTACGACGAGAGACACCGACGACGACGACGACGACGAGGAGGACGACGAGGAGGAGGACGACACCCGCCTCCGCGGCCATGCCACGAGCACGCCGTGCGCTCGCATGAGACCAGCCCGACCGCTGTCCGATTCTCCTTCCGCGCACCAGCAGCAGCAGCAGCAGCAGCAGCAGCAGCAGCAGCAGCAAGAAAAAGAATTCGTATTAAGCCAGCGCAGTGCTGAATCCAAGTGCGTCCACCGTCTTCTCATATCATTATTCCGCGTAGAAGAGATCACGCCGGAGTCATCGACCACGACGGAGGAGGTCTCGCATCGCGATTGGCGCGCTCTCCGCAATCTGCGAGTGCAACGCTCGAGTGCCGAGTCGACGACGACCGTGCGACCACGACGACGACGTAACCCCGTTGCGCTCGCGTTCCTGGAAGCGCTCGCGTTCCCGCGTCGCGGTGCGGTGGTGCGGTCAACGGGTGTCGGATGACTTCCCCAGGACGACAGCCGTGCTTCGTAGTCGTAGAGGGTTATTATATATCCCGATTGTTGTGTCCCGCAACGAGGAGCGTCGTAGAGGAAGCGCGCGGAGGTCGCAGCCCCGTCGGAGTAACGGTAACGTCTCGTCGACGTCGACGTCGTCGGTGGTGCGCCGGCCTGCTGCCTGCCCGCGTCATATCCACGTCGCACGCCCCGTGCACGCGCGTAAATCGCCGCCGCCGTGATGGCGGAGCTACCTCAGCCCGACATGTCGCACCTCACCCCCGAGGAGAGGCGCATCATAGAGGGTGTTTTAATGCGCCAAAAGGAGGAGGAGGAGCAGGATCATGAGATCATGAGGTACGCGATATCACGCTCACCGCTCACTTTCTCTTTATTCGCGTTGCGCAATTTTCTGCCTGACGCACGGAAAAGTTCTCGCGGATCTTCTCCGCGATTAAACATTTCAGTGGAAACGGTAAATTATAGAGTAGCGCAAGCGGCGATTGAAATTTTAATCCAACTGTGATATAAATTCCACCGCGTATCGCCTTTTAAAATGTCAAATGTGCAAAAAAGTGTGAAGAGAATAATAAAAGAATAATCGAAGCTTTCCGACAAAAGAATCTTTTATCACTCTGTGAAAGAGAATATTTTTGAAAATGTAATATGTTTAAATAGTATTTTAGGTAGGATAATATCGCATCGGTTCAATAATATTTGAAAAACAAATGTGCATCTCGATCATTGAGAGAAAATTGCATAAAATTAATAAGACAATCGATTAATAATTACATTATCTATTTAAACGGTGATGGACGCAAACAATAATTAATTTATACATCATCACTCTTCATTATCGCTCTTCTTTCTGTGTATCATTTAGTAGAACGCTACAATAACGAATTCAAAGATTATATGCATGGTGGAATTTTATTGAAACGTCGTTATTCAAAAATCGTTATAAAGTATGTGTATGTGTGATGTACATTTCGCGCACACAATATCGAGTCTTAAAACGCGAAAGCACGCTGAGATTTTTTGCCGCCGCGCGAGCACGGCTCTTGCGATGGATTCGAAACTATCGATGAAGGTATTGTTTTACAAGCAGGACGCGGGCTTTCACACGGGTATTTAGGACTCTCTATTGCACCGGATATTGCCAGGCTGGTCAAATGCCTATAATAACATTCACGTACCGTGATGCATGCGGTATATTGTTCGCTGCGCTTTTGGTAATTGCGCGACCATTTTTATGCTGCTCAATCTGCCGCGAAGAAAATTGCATAACGTTGAATAAAAAGCGGTCGAGAGCGTCGACATTTTATTAAATTAAAACTTTTCGTATTTTCAATCGCACAGAAATATTTGATATGTCAATTGTTTCCGATGTACGCAGCGCGTTTAAGCTGTTTTCAAATATTTCTGACATTCTTTCATTTATGAAAAAATCATGAGCTGGAAAATAGTTAATAATTTTAGCTACAATAAAATTTATTTTATAATATGCACACACACACACACACATTACGGTGTGATTATAACGGTTTTACTTAATTAGTGATAATCGTTAGAGCTGAGCTTCAGCTAATCTTAAAAGTCGTCGAAACAAGGGATAAAAGACGTTAACGGTCAGCCGCCGCGTAGATAGCGGCGCAAAAGTGAGACGTTGTTTAGTTACCGATAAAACCGCAATTGGCAAACGAACGCGAAACGACAACCGATCGATCGGATAAAGGTATTTCTTGACCAACGAGTCCGCTCCGGCTCGTTTCACCTATTTTCCCGGCTCACCTGCTCATTAGTCCTTGACCGCTTTACACCTACATCTTCCATTTATGTATCCATGGCCCTGCACATGCTCTCGATTATCGCGCCGGCTCTCTCTCTCCTCCTCTCTCTCTCTCTCTCATTCCTATATATCACGAATAGAGTCAGAAATAAAAATCGCTTATAATTGTCCCCGTCGCGTCCGCAAATATTCTCGCCCTTCCGCCGCCCTCGCGAAAAAGATTCTGCGTCTTAACGTGTCCGCGCCCCTCAGACGGTCAACTTGTCGGGAGTATCGAGTAACGTGGGGAACGACGCACGGCCGATTGATTGATCTCCGCCGCATTGGTGATAAAAATAAAGCGACCGATCGAGCTGCTCCGCTTATCATAGGTGGCGATGACTGACCGGTGACTGGCGGCGGCATTAGGCGTGCGTAATTGCGCGAATAGGGAGACCGGCGTTTTCTCGTGGCGGATAACAATAACTGAAAACGAGGAGGAAGAGCGACGGTGGCGAAAAAGTGGAGGAGGAGGAGGAGGAGGAGGAGGAGGAAGAGGTGGCGGAAAAGAGAAGGGTGGCGAGGGGGCAAACGAGCGTTGCGCAGTGAACAGGTTTTATTGATAGGTCGCCCGCGGCCGGGGAAAAAAACGGGAGCGTGAGAAAGAAGGGAAAGAGTAATGAGGAAAGCGTGCTGTGCCATACCGATGCGAGATCATGTAATGTAGACGACAAGTACGTGTAGGGACGCATGTAAAATGCAAGGCGACGAGCCTTGACGTGGCTTAGTAACGAGCTGCTGCAGCTGCATAGGGTATGCATAGGGGTGTGCAGCTGCAGCTCGTGAACAGGGTGCGAAAAGCGCCTGGATTGGCACGGTAAATTCTTGGGGGGGCTGAAATATATACGCGTCGCGCGAACAGGTCGGCGGGAGGGGGCGGGGGAAGCGGAGGAGCGCAAATAACCGTGGAACGCTAAATTGTCCTGCGTCAACGCGGAAAAAGTTAAGCCGGTATTATGCCGTTGCGTTAGTTTCATCGCTCGCGATATCTCTGATTTCCGGGGCGCGTGAAAAACGGAACAAAAAAACAAAAAACGCGGGCATAAACGAAACCATCCCCGGCGGCGAAGGATAAACAATCCTGAAGTGCGTTCCCTTTGAGCCGCGACACTTTTCTCGCGGAAAGAATGACGACGAGTGTGCATTTCGTGGAGTCGGAAGTTGCTCCGTTCGTTCCATTACTCAGTCACCGCATTATCGCGCATTAACGTCTCCTCGGTCTTTGTCCTACTTTATAGACGCGCTCGCGATCTACAATACGCCCCGTACGACTCCGAGACACTACGTCTCTCGTAATGTTTTCCTCCGCTGAACGCTGTCCGTGCTTCCAGTACGTAGTACGTGGTTTTATGGATTACATTAAAATGATTCTAACGCAGATGTTAGCGTGTTAAGACGAAATGTAAAGGACACGAAAAATCCACAGAGAAAAGTACACCGCACTTTATGATGGGAATTTTACGATGGAAGAATTTAATTTCTCGCAATCCAAGCGAGTGAATCGATATGACAAACACTATTCTGCTTTCCAACTTTGTCGATATTACGCAAAACGATAATTTCGGCCATCTCTAGGATTTTGTAAAATATAAAACAATATAATTACTTGTTTTTTTTCTAATTATTTTCAGATATTTATATACGTAGAATAATTATACAAATTCTTGCGTTGATTCTCATCTCGATATAAGATAGCGATAGGTCGAAACTCAATTTCATGGTACACTAAAAGTATAAGAAAGTTACCAAAGTGAGGATATATCTTTTGATACTTTATCCGTATACACACACTTCTTTCCAGCCTTTTCGTATCGATGAAAGAACAATTTCTTGCGTGCCGCGACCTTTGCACGATCGCTCATAACGCAAAAGTGGGAAAGTCTTGAGCGACTCTTTGTCGAGTGTGATCACCGTTGCGTGCGCGACTCACTCGATTATCGGTAAAGTAATTAGAGAAATATAGGCGGATGCAGTGCACCCCGCGCGCGGTGTGCCGTTGTATCACGACGCGCCAGCTTTTGTTCTACACAAACTTGAGATCGGGGTCACCGTGTCAAGATGCGTAGCGCGACTTTTTCCATTAATTTACAGTCTCGGTTAAGAAAATTCAATGTACAGAATACGTGATATCTCTGTGTTAATTCAAATCGAGAACATTTCAAAATGTTTATGCACAATTTGTAAGATTTTCCCGCTCGTTCTTAAGCAAAAAAAAAAAGAAGATTCAATCAGTTTTTGTATACTCACAATATACCGAAACATGAGACGAAAGGAGCACGTCGCAGTGCCAACAACCCTCCGGTCGAGGCTCGGTGGTCTGATTTGTCGTCGCGTATGCGATCCAAGATCCAAACACTAAAAAACTGCCGTATCGTGCCAAGTGCTCGGGTTTTCTTCCCTTCCAGTTACAGCGACGATTGTAATTTATTTGCTGCACGAGCAGTCTCCTGGCGACTTTATACATAGCTCGCAAATCACGTATGCATGTATACATATACGTGCTGTTTCGAGCTTTGGCGCATCGACGAGCAGTTTCCTTTAATTTCGATCGGCGTGCTAGTTTTTCTCCTCACATCTTTCAATGCGGCGTCCAGAGGATGGGCGGGATATA